TGATTCTATGATTCTATGATTCTCTTTAAACTACTGTACGGGTTATTTGTCTCTTCATATTGCTTTTGAAGCAGTAATCTTCTCTGGAAGTAAGATGCAAACATAAACACATCTCCTGCAATAAACTGAGAACAGCCACGATCCAGCAGTTTTCTAATTGTATAATGCTGGTCTCAAATAAGGTAACTTGCAAATTTGGGCTGCAGTTGTCCTTTAGTGGAATAAAGACGATAGAAGGCAGGGAATTGGACTGATAAGCTTTTAAACTCTTAGACCAAAGCATTAAGCCATGCTGCTGTTTCATGAGCTTTGGAAAGCAGTAGCTTGAATTAAGAACTGCTGGTAGAACTCGTTACCACTTTTCATGTTCAGGAGAAACAGTAGTAATCCAGACAAAGGGAGGAGAGAAAAGCTTGAGCCTTATATACTTTTTACCCCCTTGGAACTTTATCAGCATATACTAAATTTCTTGAGCATTAGATGGCATTTCTGCACTAACAGTTCAATGTGTATCAGTGAATCAGAGTTAAAAAGACTGTACAAAGCTTTTTAGCCTCTTATTACTGTTTTTTCTTGCTGTTTACGAGAAGAATTTATTAACACTTGTCATGCTTTGATCATGGACAAGTAAATGCTGATATGGTTATGTCAAAGCCGTTTCAATGTTCATGAGCATATGGTAAGGACAGCATGTTTCTTCTAGCCATATTTAGTGCCAAAAATAGTACCTATTTATTTTTCTGCTTTAGGTGACTTATGGACATGTGAGCTATGGACACATTATTAGTTAATTCCTTGACCAGACTGTGATTTTAACTAACTCAGTGGCATCTTGTACTAGAGATGAGCGATTCATTTCTCTTGTTTTTTAATTATAAAACCAGTGCATTTATGCCTGTTATAGAAAGTCTGAGGTTGTCCTTCATTGCCATAGCCAGTTACAGATATATTCTACAGATAAATTAAGATGCATTTAAATAGCATAGGGCCATCTGTTAATATTAAGGGAATAACAAATACGTAGGACTAGACCAATGGCAATTGAATTAAAGTCTCTAGTGCATTACTAACCAGATATCCCTATCCCTATATATCTCTTCCAGTACTAAAGTGGCATTTTCTTTAGGTGCAATTTTCATAACGAAATACTTGACTTTTTGGTACAACTGTTTTAGATTAAATTGATTTCCAGTAAGTTAACATAACCCATATATTATGGCACACTAGGTCAACAACAGGAATCCAAATTTTTATATGCAGTTATAAAAGCCATACAAATACATTTTTTTTTACAATGCTTAAAGTAATCATTAACAGCTTTAAAGAACGTACTCATTTTGTACTTTAAAATGGCAGGTTTAATGTAACTACTAAGTCTAAAGCCTCTATTCTAAATTTAGTTGTTAACAGAATTAGCCTAGCTCAGCATCCAAAAAACAATTTATTGTACGTTGCAAGGTCCTTTGTGGGATATTACTATAAAACTTAGCATAGAAGCCAGGGAAAGTACTGAATGAGCATAAAACAGTGAGGTATTGCATTATTAAAGTCTGTGTGTGTTCTCAGGTACCTAAGTTGGCCTTTAAGATCTAAACCAGAAAGCAACGTCTTTGAAGAACAGCGCAATATCCTCCCTCATGTAGCTTATTCAACTTCTGTAGTTTAGTTTGATCACCCAATAAAGACATGTAGAAACAGGAGTTTACTGATAATTTATGCCTTTTTGGCTAATTCACCCTTAAAATGACTGACAGACTGCAGTGATTCAGGTTCCTTAAAATGTCACTGTGACACTCCTTTGACAGGACAGTTATGAATCTCCACAGATCTTTGACCAAAAATGGTCATAAGTTAATTATAACAGTAGAATCTAATTTTTAGGCTTCACTATACCTTGGTAAGTCTAGCATTCAGTTTAACTATTTTCCAATATTGCTGTATCATTCCATAGCAATATATGGGCCAAGTTTTTAGACCTTCCTTGTGTAGTAGTTATCAGTGGATTGCTTATGTCCTGCTACAAGGAGTTAAGTTCTCATTGCTATTATGAATATTTGCACATTACAGACCCTAAGTAATTCTTAGGTACAAGTGAGTTCTGAAATCCTTGTATGAGAGCGTGGTGTTCTTCACAAAGCCCGATCTATGCTTTCACTCTCATCTTTCTGGTAAGGAACCAGCCAATACCTGGAAGCCTGGTGCTGCTCTGCTTTAGCCCTGCTTCTAGCTTGTGTACTTGAAAGCAAACATATGCCAATAGTGGACGTTGCATTGGGCGAACAACCATGACAGTTGTTCTAAGAGTATGAGGATTGGAGATCCATATATAGAAAAATGTCAAGTGGAATCTACTTTGCAGTAGTTTTGGCAATGTGTGTTATAAAATACTTCAATAAATCCTACTTCATAGCCAGTATTTTATGTGGTATTATATGTATTATACAGGTAACAGAACACAAGGTCTTTTATTCTTCTTTACTATTGCATAGTCTTAGGAAAAGTGAGAGCAAGTAGGCATTTCAGGTTTCCACCGCAGGAGAACTGAACATAGCTCACACAATATCTATATAGGATGGCATTTTCTATCTGTTTCCTCCGTATTTGGCCACCCAGTCTGTTCTTCCATGTACTGGCTGAATTGTTGGTGGGCGAGTTAAAATAGTCATGTTTTTTGCTGCTGAATTGAAAGTAGGACCTGGTAACTGAGCACGAGCAGCTTTGGTTTTCCAGGAATAATCTGAAAGGAACAAGAACTCAGAATTAGTTATGACTGAACAGGGATTTCAGTCCTTTACAGATAAAGGAATGAGAGCTTAAAGATGACTTGTGGTACTCGAGGATGCTAACACAGTAGGATGCTTTGGTCTCTGATATCTGTCTATGCTTGCTTTCAGATAAGGTTAATGTTTCCTATAGTTTGTGTATCTTATTAGTAATTCTCATCTACTGGATACTTGTTTTGCAACAATCCCGTGAGAAAACACTGAGACTGAAATTCAGTGGAAAAACTGATGTGTATGTCTACAACTCTGTACCTCCTATTACAAAATGGCTACAGAATGGAAGTGTTCTTTTCTCTATCTCAAATACTTGAAAAAGCATGTAATTATAACATTGCTAAACTTACTAAAACCCAAACAACCTAGACTGAAAGACAGCTTCTGCAGACCCTCTTGTTCCTTTTGAGATTTTATGCCTTTTATTCCCCTCCTGCTTAGCTGAGAACTCCTGGTGTACCTGGTGGCAAGTTCTCTTCATCTCCATTTCCTGTTTCTCTATCAATTTTGTAGGATCTGTTCCAAGTCCTTGGGTTTTTTTATCCCTTATGTTGGCATCCACCTGGTCTCAGGCACTGCTAGTGGTGCACTACTATATTCCCAGCCTTCCTACTCAGATTTCCCCTTTCTGCATTTCAGATAGCCACTACTTCCTCAAGCTTCATGTGATTAAAGTAATTGCCCTGCTGCAGGGGCTGACTGCTCATGGTTTTCTTCATGTTCATCACCAATTCTGCCGTTTTCCCAAGCCTTTAAAGTCAGTCATTTGGGACATCTCTTACATATAAGAAGAAATCCTATTAGGATTTGTATATATAAGAAATATATATACTCCTGCTATACCTTACCATTGTTGCCTTAGCATTCCTAAAGTATGTCCTGCCCCTTCCATTCCTACTTTAGTAGTTCAGTCTTTTTTTTTAATTTAACATGTTATGGATAAAATACTTTTTTTAAATGTGCCTATGTATCATTCTGTTTCTTATGGAAAACCACCTATTTTTGGTGGTATTTTTCAACAGTGGGTTGAACCCATTCAGGAACAGGTGAGGATCATGACATTTAAAAAGGAGGAATCTCAAGGAACTGAAACTGGGGGTCAGGTCTTCACCTCTTTGAAAACTAATACTGTTCCTTTTTATTGTAGGCTGGCATTCCCTTTCTTTCATCAGCAAGTATGATTCCAGCTTACCCTCTCTTGGCAATGAAGGTCACTTTTTGTGGGTCTTGGCATTGCGTTTTCCTCAGAGAAATTGATCTTTTATACTACATTAAATTATTTAAATTATGGCATTAAAAAACTTAACAGAACAAATGAAGAGAGCAAAAACAATTGAGAGCATAAATTATTTCAGTTTCGATAATACAAAGCAAAGGGTCACCAAAAATGTTATTGTTCAAATATTGACAGATAGGAGATTAAAAAACCTGCCATTTGCTTCATCCTTATCTCTCTTCCTGTGTAAGTCTGCAAAGTTTAGGCTAAATGTGAGGGGTTTAAGCAATAGGATTCTTGCTCTTCTCCAGGACATGGAAGAGTCTCTTAATTGACCTCCATCTGTCAGCCTTTCTGACTTTTACCACACATTTTCCATTTCTAATTACAAATTAACAGTGAATTTATTTTCCTTTGGATCACCATAAGTAATTCCTTTTCATTCTCGCTATTCACAGCAGTCTAGTGATAGTTGCAGATTTTGTACTCCTGTGAACTTCTTGATCCACACACCGTGACAAATCAAAACCCTCGTTGTTGTCTTTCAGCGGTGAGTTGATAAGATAACGAAGTGCAGCTCCAGCCTTCCCTGGTGGGTTTCTGATCAACTTAGAATATGCATACATCTAAGCGTATTTTATATATGCGTGCCATCTCCTTCCTTCCCTCCCTCCCTCTCTCCTTCTCAGAAGTCACTTGCAAGTTCCTATGGTGAACAGGCAACTCAAACGAGCAAGTCAGCAAAAAGACAACATTATTAAGCAGGACCATATCAGATTGGTCTGCCATAGGCCCTTTAGTTAAACAATTCACAATTAGTTTAGGGCCTTGCTATTTCCCCTGAACTAACTAGAGAAGTGTGCTGTTGGGTTTTGGACAACTGCTCTAAATCTTCACTCACAAACCAGTTTCTCGTGCATCCTGAGCACTTCTGTTCATCTTCTATGAATCAGAAACATACCAGCAAAGAAGGTGCTCAGAATGTCATCCATACCGCAGAGGATCCAAGGTAACAGTTACATTCAGAACAGATTCCACATTGTTTTTAACTGATGAATGGAACAGTCTTTCAATGTGTTTGTTAATGTAATGTACAGCTACATGATTACTGTATCATAACTATTAAGAACTGGTCATTTGCCTTCTCTTGTTTGGCTTTTACCTTCTATAATGTAGCAACATTGAAAGTTTCACTTCACAAAGCATTCTTGTGATATTTCATGGGTACAAGAGTAGTGTCATCTCCGTATCCAGAGACTTACATAGCCAACATAGTGAGATGAAGACACAGTGAAAACCTACCTTACATGACCACTGCAGAAACCACAGGCCAACTAGATAGGGCCAGTAAATAAGAAAGCAAATAATTTTAATTTACTGCTCATACCGTATCTGAGAGCAAATGATTTTAATTTACTGCTTATACCATATCTCTAACATTATTTGTGAATTTACTAAGTCATTTGATGAAAGTCTTTGCCTTTTTTTGAAATTGTTGAGGCCACTGTAAGCATGCACCGGCATCATTCAATTGCATTGAGTGACATTAAACTGAATAAAGACCCACACAAGACAGCCCCAAGCTATATGAAAGTCACTGTCAAGAAAATTCCTCCACATCCACTCAAATATAAGGCTTTTTTTAAAACTTGAATTTATCTATTTTGCATACTTACCAGTTGGTGACTGTACCAATTCCTACTAGCTACATAAATCATGGATTTATATTTGTGTCCAATCGATATGACCATTTACTGTAGAGTTGTGGAGTTACATATTTTTACAATTCTGCTTAGCCCTTCACCACTAATGAACAGTAGTTTAGCAAATGGTCCAAATCTTCTAGAATTACAAAACATTTGCACCTTTATTTTCTCTTTTACCTAACAAGTAATAGTAGAAATATTTTCTCTGGGTATTGTCTCGGATATGTATGGTAAAAGGATGTTTCTTACCTGATACAGGTGCACCAAGAGGAGCTAGCTGTATCCGTTGTCCAGCTGATCCAACTTCTTTTTTATGAAAGGAAGGGATATATGCTCCTGATGGGTTGTAAGCAGCACCACTTACAAAGCCAGGATTTCCTGTTGACATTACAGAGTTTTAGCATTTTCAGTTGCATTCAGAAAACCTTGCCTACTTTTTATAGTCACTTCAAAACATATTTGCAGTATCACAAGAGTAATGCATATTCTTTAAAAACTCCCTAGTGCTTGTCTGTTGAAAAAACAGTATATATTCATTCTTTGCTTTGTATATTAGTTGGACCCTTTACACCTAACAAACTCGCTAAGTTGCACATCCAGTACATCTGATACGCAATTCAGCGGGAGTAAAAACAACAGAGCAAGATGAACATTTCATTAGTACTTTCCTTAAACTTAGACCACATAGAAAGGTTTACACTGAATTTTAGAGAAAGGCAGGATCTTACCTTTTACTTACAGCTACCTGCTTTACTGGAAGCTAGTTTAAGCACTTCGGTATTTGAAAACTAGTGCTCAACAGTATTCTTGTGCTCAACAAGTTTGGCCTAAATCTATCTAAAATAATGGAAGCAAACTTCTCTTGTGGGAAGTGGTGCACCACTTGCCGTTGACTTTGCTGGTTCCAAAGTTAAAGGCCTACTATAAAAATCAGACCCAATTACCCTCTTTCTTTAACCCTGGTTATAATTTTATTTTGGTCCAGATCTTTCTTTAAAGCAGTGCTACCTTGGGAAGGTTGACATAACCATCTTCATCTGGAAGCTGAGAAACATTGTGCTTTTACACACAAAATTAGTACTGAAATTATTGTCCAACAGCAGACAGATCTGTTACAATATTTAGACTCCCAACTCCAAGAAAATTTCTTACTTTCTCCATGTCTGTCGTCACTTGGGACAGTGTTAAGACTGTGCTGGCACAAGGTCCTGAGAGAAATGCTTTCCTCTAGTGTGGTTCTGTATTCAGTAGTATTAAATTTGTGAACTACAAAGCCATACACAGTAGTTTTAATTTGACCTTTATCAAGTGTGAGCATTTTTATCATATTAATATTCAGCATGGTTTCAATGGTAGTTGCAGTAAAACACGCAGTATCTGATTTGACAGTTTTTCTGTCTTCTAAATCAATTGGGATTGCCTCAGTGCAATCCCAAAATGTTCCTCTTCACACAAACATTCCCAGTACTCTGTGATAATTTCGGAGCTCAGAGCAGTGGATCTATAAGCTGCAAAATTGGTCATCTACAACCCCAAAAAGGTATCTGCAGCTAATTACAGCTGTGTTGGGTCATTGCATACCTCCCTGTTGAGAAGCACTAACAAAAAGCATTCAGCTAACTCAGTTTTGCCAGACTCCCCAAACTGACACTTCTGTTAGTCCTGCAAATAGTTGGGTCTCCATGTGGCTTCCCTGCATCCAGTTGGTGCCAGTCTCCAGCACAGTAAAGAATGACGCAAAAGTCCTGATGAAAACAACTTTAATAAAGTATTCTAATAAAATTCTAACTTTCTTGTAGTCTTTAAGTTGTTTTTCCTTCCCAGGAATTTGCCTGAAAAACAAAAGCAACACAGTTTTAGTGGTTCGTTCACCTGCCTGTGCATATACACACATATTCTGTTACTCCCCCAGTTCCTAATTATTTCACTGGGAGTGGTTGATAGCTCTGACAGCTCAGTAGCACTCCTTAAAATTCTGAGGTCTGAAAATAACAACGTGACAGGCCTCAATTAATATAACCTCAAAAAGACTACTTCTGTCTGCTTCTTATCTGCAGCTCAGCACAGCTACCTACTTGTCAAAAATTGCTCAACCATTTTTTGGTTCTCCTTACCTCTCAATGTCCAATGTCCTTTATGAACCCTTCTGCAGGAAATGGAAGAGTGCAGCCAGGAGGAACAGTCTGGATGAAACAGGTCTGGAGGGGTGATCTTTTGTTGGATGAGAACAAGGGAAGGAGGAAAAAAAAGTTCAATACAAAATAACAGAATAACTACAAATAAAAAAAATCCTATTGAAAAGCACAGTTTCTTACCTCTGACCACTGCTGTACAAAAGAAGGGGTTCTTGCTGTAGAAGTATTCATCCATCAGGCATCTAGGAGGTCTGGCAGCAGGTATACAGGCAAGCACTCATGGCCATAATGTCAGCAAGTGTAAGCGTGGCCCAGGCTGTACCCCCTACCTCAAACAACACATACCTGATTCTTTATAAAGGATAAAGTCACTGAATCATTTGACCTGGGTACTGAGTTAAAAAAACCCTCTGAATAGTTGCAGAGAGATGTATCACAGAGGCAGTACACACCAGCGGGGTCCAACTGGGAGAGAGGTGAAACATTCCAGCAGCTTTACAATGCTCGCAGCGAACTGTGTTTAGACATAAATTAGACTGCCTGGAAACCTGAGTTTCCACCCTCTTACACTAAGGTAAGTCCACCAAAATCTATGCAATCACAGCGCTGTAAAATCAGTGTAACAGAGAATCAGAATGCAGTCAACGGTGCAAGTCCCAAGTGCTGTTACGAACAAGCAGACCTTCGGGAGAGATGCATATGCTGCTGCTTTAGGATCGCTTCTTCACCACTATCCAGCAACAGTGCAGTGACATGCTGTGGATTATAATTAGGGTAATAAAATATTCTCTGTCTTTTAAAGCACAATAAGTGCCAAGAGTCCAGAAGAAGTCACAATGAAGAGAGCAAGGTTTGACAAAACAGATTACAACTGAAAATGAAGTACATTATCATCTGGAATCTGCATTGTAAGTGCAATTTTTACAAGAAAATGTAAAATATAAATATAAAATGTGCAAAGAACCAGGCTATAATTGCTATAAATTACCTTTTGGATCCTCTAATTTTTCATTCAACTTTTCTTTGCATGATAGCTTTTCAATAGGTATAATTAAGTTCTCATCTGTAGACAAGGAAAATGAAAGGAAGAAAAAGATGGAAAGACAGAACTTTAGAAAAAGTGTATGAAGAACCTGGGTAGGTGATGTAAAAGAAATGAGGGAAAACAAAGCAAGAAATAATAAATATCTGACATTTTTGTAACTATAATGTGTCAATCCTGTGTTTTCTCAAGAAGGAAATGTTACTCTAACAAGTTACTTTACAAGGTCCTTTCTAATAATGGAATAGAAGTGTGATTTACCAACAATGCAATCACATTGCAATCACACATACACATAAATCACAAGGCTTAAGCACTCAAGCGTATCTGCAAAGTTGACTGATCATAACCTTACAATTCTTCGTAAACAAAGCATCTGTAACTATTTGCTCTTATTTTATTTCACCTTAGGGAAATGTTGTGGATGAGAAAAAAAAAACACTTAAATAAACTAAACATAGTTATTTAAACAGTAAACAGCACAGTGTCAACTTTCAATTCTGTCAATACGAAAAAAGAAACCAAACACAATTTACACGTGTTGTATTTCCGTGATCGGTGCTCCAGCTATACTGGTTTTATGTGTGTCTGTCTTAGATGTTGTTGCCTCCCCAGTATATGAAACGTGACATGCAATTTAAGATACTGATGGAAATAATACCAAGTATTTTCCAACATACAAAATAATCAGTTTTAGGTTTTTTTTCTTTAAACTTTCGGTAGATACCTGAAGTAAGACAGTAAGACCAAAGCAGGATTTTTACCACTAGCATTCATCTTATTTTCAGTGCAATTCAATAGGTAGATGTCTAGCTTATTGATGCATACTTTTGGAAACAGCTTTTTGCCTCTTTGTGCCTAATTCCCTTGCAAGACTACTTTATGAATATATTAATTAATTCTGAGGCACCCAGATACAATATTTCAGAAAACAAAAAGGTACATATGATGATTGCTTAAAAAAGTCTGTTCTATTCCATCAAAATTCTGGTAGGTGCTGTTATTTTTCCACTTCCTAAAATCTTTCACATATTTCAGATTAACAACTTACAGCTCACCTGACTTTCAGAAGGAAAATCAGGTTTGTTGACACTGCAGAATGGCTACTAAAGTTCTATTAAAAAGGGGTGCAGCATTTGCATGTAAACAAACCTTCTAAAGTTCTTTCTGTACAAGCATGTAAGGCTAGGTGGTTTATTGGCATTAAAGTATTTGGGAGTGACTCACGCTAGCTGGACAATGGCTGCAAAGTTGTTAACAAGGTAACCTCCCATAACAGGGTGATGAGACTATGTACTTAAAGTATAGGGCTGAGTGGTCAGAAGATAGATTTTAGTCTTGAGTTTGATGCTTTCCCCAGTAAAATCTTAGATAAGCCGTTTAACTAGTCTTCGTCTTCACTCTATAAAATGCTGATAATAGTGTTCTTCACAAAACATAGTACCAAAAGGCACCTTACTGCAAGTTCCTTGCTGAAAATAAGGGGACTTTTCATGCAGCAAGGTATTTAGGACAAGGCTAGTAGATTGTTAAAAGACATGCTTAGAATATTAAGCAGTACTTTTATTACATGAGCACACCACCCACCATCTTGTTTTCATACCTGAGACTGCTGTTTGATAGTGTTCCACGGCACACTGACCAAGCAGTAATGAGGTCAAACTATTTTCTTAGATTAACACAGTAAAATAATGGTCTAAGAGGATTATGGACAAAATTTATCTTGACAGAACTTTATAATAGGGGGTGGTCTATGCTTCCTTTGTGCTCTGAAAGCAAGATACATAGTTTACATATGAAGAAGTTGTTATTTTAAGAGTCTGTCGTTAAAACAAGAAAAAAAATGTTAGCTTAGAAGCTAAGCCTGACAACAGAAGTTAAACCAGATGGTCTTAACTAAATTAATTAAACAAAGTATGATGAGATATAATGTGACCACTTCTAATCACACTTTCACCTGTAGCATTTCTGTTGAAAGTCAGTCCTCCTCCAGTATGTGCCAGTGGTTTAGAAAACAAGTGGTTGTTCCAAGTTCCATGTGATCCTTCTTTATTGACTGCTACTAAAGAGACACTCTTAGGGTTTACACCTTAGAAAACAAATTATGGAAAATGTTATAAATATCAATTTTCAAACAATTCAACCAATGAAAAATGGACATTTCTAGAACAGTCAAACGCTGAATTATTTGTGGTGTAATGTAAACACCATTAATGTAAAAGAATAATGTCCATCGATTAGGTTAGATTTTTCAGCTAAACCATGAAAACTAGAGACACTGATTTAAGAACAATTCTCTTCATGCTTTCAAGAGAACTTTTAAAAGCCTTTTTAGTACAGTTACTCGGTTTCTATAAAACCATAATCTCATTATTAATATTTTTGACTCTCAAACAATTAACACAAATTAAAAATACCTATCAAAAACTAGCGTTCTCACGGCTGAAAATAAACTATTTCTTCAAGAGGTAAGTAAGTTAAAAAGTAGGACAAAGAGGTTCTTGTTACTTCAGCATGTTACGAGCATTACAAGAGTTAATGGGATTACACAGCATGAAAGTAGCTTCCAGATCTAGTGGTAACAGAACTAAAGTAATACAGATAAATAACAAGTACGATTCTTGGAGCTATTATTCTCTTTAGAGCTGATATTAATTATTTTTTACATCTATGCCTTTCTCATTGAAAACTCCACTAAAACCGAAGAGACATTAGAAGAAAAAAAAAGATTAAAAAACATAAGAAATATGGATGAACTTTCCATTTATGTTACCTTTAGATAGGGAAGCTTCCCCGCTACTTCCCCCACCCCTTTATTTTTTCCCTTTTGGACTTAAACTCTTGAGGCTCTGGGCATCCTATTTAACATTCAAGAAGTGATTTAATATTCAGAAGTCATCACTGGCCTAATGAATTCCTGAGAAATTAGTGATACATTGTTACAAAACAACTTGCCTGACAATCAGGAATTCCTCTATGAGCCACCTGAATTCTCATATGTGGATTACAGTAGAAGTCATGATACACGTACTGTAATTGTGCAAACCATCATGGCAATAAAGAAAAGATACTAAGTGAGACACCAAGGCAGTCATTTGATTATAGAATATATTCAGAATACTAACTGAAGGAAACATTCCCTTTTCTTTTTCCTCCTTCCCATTCCTATTCCTAGCAATTACATAATTTCATGTTATTTTCCTGATAAAATCACCCAGATTTAGACTAAGCTATCTATTTATTTTTAAGAAGGATGACTGCCTTGGGAAGGAAAGCGAGTGGGTGAATTCCTACCAGTGCAAGTGACTGATATTTCTAAACACTTCCTACCAAGAAAGGTAACTGTGCTTATCAGAACTTTTAAGTTCAGAAAACCCCAAACCTCCTGATACTGCAAAACTGAGAACTATGCACTATATATTTATATATAGGTAGTTTCTTTAGTCCTCAGATACACTTTCTTATGGTCAATCAGGATATATTCCTAGGAGTCCAAGAGATCTTGGATTTGTATTACTGAGGGGTTTATATATTACTGGTCATAAGAGGGCCTATGAACTCTTATGGTGTACAAGCAGTGTTGAGCTCCCTTCCATGTTTACATAGCCAGGACCTTCTGCATCAATTGTGATGAGATATGTTCTGGGAAAGGCATTTAGTCCAAAACTTGAAAATCTAGCCTGGTTATGAAAAGTGAAATTATCCAGTGTGAAATCTAAAGTTTAAACTTACTGTACATAGATTGTTCGTAGCTTGTATTTTCCATATGTATTGAGTTTTATCCTTACCAGGTAGATATCTTGATTGTCTTAGATAGTACTGTTTTGCTGATGTATTTGATCTTCCAGAATCATTTCTCATCAGAACCTTATTTTCCCCTCCTGGCTGGATACAGCATGAAGCTTTTGGTTCTGGCAAACTGAAAAATCAAAATGTTCAAACAATGTGACCAACAACTCCAGCTCAGAATATCACAAGCTGACACTAGCCTGAAGAGTACACTGCTCTTCTCTTACCCTGCCTTCATCAGTAGAATTCATTCCCACAGAAAGTAACAGCCAAATCTCATACCTCAGCAGAGTTTGACCTGGGACTTCAAAGAAAAAAAGTGTATCCAATAATACTGAATAAAACCAAATGTGGGTATCTGTAGCAGAACTTTCCCTAACTTAACTGACAAAGGAAATGAAGTTAGTATATCTGATTTTAGTAAAACACACAGTTTCTTAATAACATGACAAACACCTAAACCATACAGTATCTGAAAACAAATTTGATTCAGTTTGGATATTACTGGCGCTATATCAACACCACACCCAAAGCTGGTCTGCTCATACAGCTCTTTGCATTCTTGCAGACTTTCAGTGACTTAAATTTTAGTAGATTTGTCTTAATCAATCTATAAATCTACTGGAAACTGTTTACTAAAAAAATTGCGATTTTATAATTATAGGACTTACCTAAAAAGACATTCCTTGATTTTCTTTTCTTTTAACAGTGCAATGCTAGGCTTCTTCGAACACGACATTCCACATTCAGTGTCATCCAAGTCATCCCAGCTATCCACAGCCTTTACCAAAGTCTGACCCCATCGTCTTCTGCAGCTTTTAGGACCTGCTGCACCATTCTGAGGGCCACTAGCTGCTTGTTTCTATTTGAAATAGGAAAAAGCTTCAATTCAATTCTAAAATTTTATATTTTGTATCTAGTTCACTTCCTAACTACCGCTTAAGAACTTTGACGGAATTTTTCCCACTGTGTTGTGCCTATTTTGGTCATAGAATTAGAATGATTTTAAGCACAAAACATAACAATGATGCTGGCAGGTATTTTGAGTTGTAGCTTTTTTGGACTGTCATCCTTAAATTGCTCAGATCTATCTGAAGTAGTGAAGTTAATGTTCTATTTGCAGACCCAGTTCAGTGCTCAGCCTCTACTACTGGTATCTTGCTGAACTCATGCTCTCGACAGTGGCAGATGAACTGTCAAGAAGTAGGGCAAAGTGGTGCAGAACATTCACAGCAATCACGCTCAGGGTTTATGAGTGCCAATTGCCACGGCCCCAAAGTAAATACAGCAAATAACAGGAGTTAGTCAGGACTTCCCTTAACGTTCTCTTCCAAAGAAATTATTAGATTTTAAAGTTGTCCTTTCACCTGACTATAGTTTGCTTTCCAGTATTTTCTGAATACCTGTTATTTTTAACATACTTTATATTGTAGTTCAGTGGGTATAAGTGGAAAGCAAAATGAAGATTGTAAACCAAAGTTTAATATTCATCTTGCTAAAAATATTACAAGCTTAGGAATTGGATGAAGTGTCAAGTTCCATGTGATTACAAGTGTTGCTCACTTTGCAGCTATCTACTAGTAGCCAACAGGTAGTAGTCGGAGAACTACCATCATAAACAAGACTGAGCTTTCTCAGGTATTTTCCTGCTTGAGGCAAGTGAAGTTCTCCCTTTCCACTTCTCTATTGTATACTAACAGTATTTTTGTGACTTGTTTCTCAAAGATCAATAAATGATAGTTGTTGTAACTACATTACTGCATAGGCACATCAGTAAAGGCTATTATAAATCAACATACATTGTTGTTACAGGCAATCTATTCTTCTGATTTGCTGTAAAATTTCAGTAAGTGGCCAGTAATATCCTTAATTAGTCCCTAATTATCTCTCTGTATTTCCTCTAATAAAAAAGTATGACAATTTTCAAGGGATTGCCTGGCTGAATATAGTAAGAACCTTGAATAAAACCACCTAAGTATTTATTGAAGAAACTTACTGGCGATGAGTTTTTATTGATAGTTGGAAAAAATGGTTGTGCCTGTGGCTGCTGCTGTTTTGGTACTTGCTGGTTAGCTGTATTCTGAGGCAACTGAATTTGCTGGAGAGGCTGGTGGTTAACCTTTGACAGGGGCTGTGGCTGTGTTTTGTCAGGTACATCAGGTGAAGACAGAGGTTCTGGCTTGGATATAGCTTCCAGTTTAGGTAAAGCTGGCTTTGGCTCTGTTGGCTGAACTGGTTTAACAGGAGTCTGCTTCTCCAGATACTGTGGAGGAGGTCCTAAAACTTGGCCAACTTGAAAGTAAGGGTACTTCAAAGCCTGGAGAAGAAGATATAACATACTAACTTTACTTCAAAAAGTTGACTTTGGTAACTTCATCAAGGATCTAAGCAGGTTTCCGAAGCATTTGACCAAGCTCTACAGCACAAATGCAAGATGGATGCATAATAAGATCATATGTAAACAGTGTGTATTGATAACTGTCAGTTCTGTATTTTAAACTCTTCTCATCGTGTAATTTAGTAAGATGGACCCACTTGTACATGTTACAGCAGTCATGTCCTTTCTTTCCCTCCTTTACTTCTAGGTTTTGTGGAGTCTGTGTTTTGAGGTGCATTTTACATTCAACACTGTTCTATACTCATGCAGCAAGAAATTTCAGTCTTAAAACAGGTAATCTTCACTACCTTTACCACATGCTTTATTACATGTTTCCACTGCTAACTATGTTTTGGCAACTTGATGAACAGCTTTGTTTTTTAATTTAAAAAACCAGAAGTGTGATGATTGCCATTTAATATTAATGCATGGGTTTTACAATTAGAGGATGTTAACGAGCAAAGTTTCTCCTTCATTTTCTTATCACCAGCTTTCTCTGTTTTTGTTTTGCTCTGAAGTACATTCACTGTGCTTGCTGTGCCTTCATGTTTATTAGGAAACTACAGTGTCTGTCTTCAGGCAGATGTGCATTTCATTCTTTTTCTCTGACCTTTTCATGTCCACCACTAGACACACAGCACAGACATACCTTACTAACACAGCTCCTCCTATGTCAAAACAACACACTCTGCTACTCCTTCTGGGTAGGGTCCTACTCTTTGTTAGTTCTCAAAGAGATGTTTTGCCTCAGCTGCACTTGAGAACTGCTGCCTTTGTACACGTTTCCATGTATGTGCATTAAACTCTCCCTTTTGGCTGTGGATTACACAACTGCTGCAGCTGCTTCCTTGACAACTCACTTGGGCAAAAGATGGTTATTTGCTTTCATAAAGCACCATGCAGTATTCTGTGTAGAGATATATAGCACCGGACTCCAGTTAGATCTCAGTGACTGTAACAATAGATATGCTTTATAAAGTGGAGAGAAAGGGTTGCTTTACTTGGTACCATCTGCTTAACCACTTCTGAATCACTTACATTACATCCACACTTGCAATATGTCTTTTTTCTTTCCCAATTGTACTCCCCTTTTATACCTTCTAAATAGGATTGCATTAGGTATGAATACCTAAAAAAAAAAAAATCAGTAGAATGTAACCATCTTTGGTACTTGAAATATGTTTTTAAAAATTAACTTTGAGAAAGACTGTGACCTTTGTGATCTATTGGTATGTTCTTCACAAAGTTCCTTCTTTATCACTTAGTACAGTTTAGATCCCATCTCCAAGTAAAAATAATCCTTAGGTCTTCCATACTGCATTCCATCTGCAGCTCCACAAAAAGCAAAGCTTAATTTTCAATATCGCCCGTCATACAGATGGGGGAGGAAAAAGGCGGCAGCAGAAGTGATTTATAGTTACAATTCAGGAAACTTGCAGCTCAGATTTTTCTCTGTCCTGTTCAGGGAAAGTTTTAGAATATGCCAATAGATAAGACAACATTGCAGAAATAACTAAAGAATTTATGATACCTGCTGAGCCAGGTTTAAGAACTTTCTTTCCTCACTACTCAGTCTCATTCCCACCAAAGCGTTCAAAATGACGAGACGTTTCTCTGGCCATCAGTATTATGACAATCAATTTTTTAACAATGCAAGAAAACTCAGTCTTATACTTAATCATTCAGGTGTTCAGACCTGACTTGCTGTAGGTCTCTTCTTTGGATTCCAGTTCAGCATATCACTCATAAGCTGTATTGCTTCATTGCTTGCATTTGGAATGAGAGTTTTTAGGCTTATAGGGACACATTGTGGGAAACGGAAATTCATGGCAGAAGCAAGGTGGTATCCTTCTGGCCAGTCACTCTGTTTCAAAGGAAAGAAAAATGAGTACCAAAAAAGAACAGACGATATAGCTTTGAGGTATTAGATCAAATTTAATTTTATGCAGCTTGAGTCACACTTGGTCTGCATAGCTCCTTCCTATATAGTGGAAAACAGGCATTCCTATTTTCCATTACAATTGTTACACCACCAGTGAATGCAGCATCAGTCTCCAATGGCAGTCCTTCTCAAGCTCTCCTGTAGGTAAAGGTGGAACCGTCATTGTGGATACCACACTTGGACATATTCTATCTGAAGAAGAGTGTGCAGTACCAGGAGCAGTACCGAACATCCCATCTACCACAGAAATGAGCTCAAACAGCTGACTTCAACATACCTTCTTTATGGGAATAGTAGAGGTGAGGCCCTTCCACCCCGCATATCATGGTTGTGTAACCGCGATGCAGCCTATATAATATACCACTGATTCCACCATTAAGATAGTCAATGATTAAGTTACAACTAGACACTATTACAACAGAAAAAAGCCATGACCACCAGATGAATTTTTTTTTTTTTTTGAGTGTTTAACTTGCCAAAAGTAAACCCTGAAGTCCTTAGTTGCTTCATAATTGCATTGTTTGAATACAGAATCACAGGATTATCAAAGACCTCAAGAGATCCTCTAGTCCATGCTCTTGTCCCTTCCTGACAGGTATTAGTCTCAAAAAGCTTCCAGTTTCTGGCACTCCACAACCACTCTAAACAGTCTATTCCAGAGCTTAATTCTCCTTAAGATTAGAAAAATGTATGTTTTTCTTAAGACAATACAAGACCGTTGCTGAGTGTGCTATCATCCATGGACACCAAGAAAGACTCTTTCTTTCTTCTCGCTAGAACAGCCTTTTTATACATTAAAGGGTGTATTTCTTCTCCTTTCTTCAAGTCTTCCTTTTTATAGGCTAAAGAAACCCAAACAACTGAATTCCTGGGTCTAGGCTTTTTAAGTTTTTCTTCTTCTCTGGTGTATTGGGTTTGTGTGGCAAGTTTTTGGTAGCAGGGGAGCTACAGGGGTGGCTTCTGTGAGAAGCTGCTAGAAGCTTCCCCTGTGTCCGTCAGAGCCAATGCCAGCCGGCTCCAAGACGGACCCGCCGCTGGCCAAGGCCCCGCCCCTCAGCAGCACGGGTAGTGCGCCATAGTCAAGAACGGGGAAAAAAACCATGCAACTGCAGCTGAAGGGAGGAGTGAGAATATGTGAGAGGAACAGCCCTGCAGACACCAAGATCAGTGAAGAAGGAGGGGGAGGAGGTGCTCCAGGTGCTCGAGCAGAGATTCCCCTGCAGCCTGCACTGAAGACCTTGGTGAAGAAGGTTGTCCCCCTATACACCTGCACCCCATGGAGGACCCCACGCCACAGCAGGGGGAT